AGAAGATGTCACTGACAGAACCAGCAAAGCTCATACCAGGGATGGAAAAACCAAAATAACAATTTATCCAAGTCCCAAGGGAGGACCCATTCGGGTTTCCAGTCATGTACAGTCAGTGGGGATTTTGATCAGTGGATTGAGGCGTTAGCAAGCCTTTAATAAAGTAAATAAATCCAATAAATCTCAAGTCAAAATCTGGAGAAAAAACCCTCCCATTCAGGGAAATTCTCTCTGTCATTGTGGTAGCTTGTTTCTTACATTATTGCACTTCCAGTTCCACATAATTATAGATGCTATGATGGACTATCAATTTCCTAGTTTATACAACTTAATTATTATCAGGATGCTGAGAATCTGAAACGAGCAGAGTCCATTTCTAAGCCCCAGCCAAGACCTAATACTTCACCAGACCGAGGTTTAATCTTAATACCATAACCTAATGCCAGCTTATAAATCATTAGCAGGGAGTTTTGTAGTCATGGAAACAACACAGAACAGAGAAAGTTAGAGCCTAAATTCCAGCTGATGGAGCAGCCCAGCAGCTCTGAGCAGAGAGGGGCTGGAACTGGCGTTATCTTGGTCCAACCCGAGCTCGTGTCCTCACTGTTCAAGCCAACAGAGGGAAGGAACTTCCTTGGCCAATTTTTTCCTACTAAACCAGTGCTGAGCAATCTTGGGAGTTGCTTCTGTACTAAATTTTCCGTAAAACAGAACATGGACACAGTGTCTGGCTCTTGTGTTTCTCTCCTTGGCGTTACAAGTTCTCGTGAGGGCGGCGGCTTTTCCCATCACACGGTGCACTCTCACCCCTGTCACAACCAAATTAACTGATGAACTAAATCACAGAAATTAATGTATATACACATATTTATCCATATAAAAAGGAGCAGGAGGCTGGAGATGCCCACACGAGACATGGCAGTACACAAGCAGGGAGAGGCGGTACCAGGGACATCATCGAGGATCCACAAGGTTTTCAGCCACGGATTCCTTGGTGGATTTACACTCCAGCAAGACTTCTCTGCAGCAAGGACAACACTGAGGAGATGTAAAGAAGCAGAAAGCTGCTCATCTGCACTCTTAGATTTTTCATGGTGGCCATGTCACTGTGGTGAGCTAAGACCTAAGCAGTAAAAAGTGCAACCTATAAAAATGAAAATGCATTTTTGCTTCATTAGCTAAACTAGTTACTGAAAAAAATAGTTAGGAAAAAATTCCTATCATTCCCACTGCTAGGAAAAAGGCATGAAGGCAAAGGGGATGTTTCATAAAAATATAAATGGGGAGGGTGATAAAACTCTACCTGGGAGTTAAATATGGACTATTTTATGTCTTTAATTTACTTTTCTCCTCATTTCCTCTCCTGTTTCCCTTAAATTTGTGTCATATTTACCCTTTTGGTTAATAACAGTAAATTTATTGAAATTATTTGCCTGAAAAAATGAATGTTATCAAAACAGCTTTTAATTTACTGGGTTTATATATTTCTAAATATACACATACAAAACGTGGATGATTTCCTTCCTTTCAGGCCTTTTGCTGGAGCCAGCTCAGCTCTGGGAGCTTTCCTCTGTTCTTTGCTGACCTCTTGTGGTTTCTAGCTCTGAGGAGAAATTATTTTCTCCAGCTCAACATTGTTACTTCAGATAAAGGCAAAAAGAGAATCTGAAAGGACAAGACAACAGTTTAATACACCATCGAGCATCCCAACAGACCTTGTTGGGGGGGGTTTAGAATCAATTTTCCAATTGATTCAGTATTTTTTTTTTAACTTTTTGGTGTCGCTGGATAGAAGTTAAAACTATATGAAATACTTGGATAGGTGATTTCAAAAAAATTCCCGAATTTGCCAGGCAAAAAACTGAGGTAAACATATTCCTTAGAAAATGTAGGCAACTAATTCAAATGACTATGAAAGACAGTCACTGGAAAAAGGATATATCTATCCTAAGATAGGAATTTTAGGGGATATTGCCCTGGACAATGAATAGATCTGCCTGTGAGCCGTGAAATCTTGAGAGGGAAGAGTTTCCAGTCCCCATTTGGCACTGTCAACATGTTTAATCTGTTTAATAATCCTGTGGCCACCTGAGTCCACTTTGTTTTCTGCCTTTATTGCCAAACACGCTCTGCCCTGCAAAAGAGCGGTGCCTAACGAGGAGAAATGTAATTAAAGAGGCTGCCTAGGAATAATATTCAAGAATTCTTGCAGAAGTATCCTGTGGTAGTGCTAATAAAAACCCCAAACAGCAAATAGGATGCTACAACAGCAAATCCCTAAGTGTCAAAAAAGGAATTGCTTTTATATATGTTCCTTCATTTTTTAATTATGCAAATTACTGCTAGTTTTCAATCTTGAGTGTGGAATTTGCTTTTAAGCATAAAACTCATCTCAATATGGGCAAAGAATAATAAAATTCTGTGCTAAAATAATTTTTAAGGACTTTCTACCTAATCCTAGAGCAAATCCCTGCAATCACCCCCCCCCCCAGGCATGCAAAGCTGCAGAGCAGGACTGATTTTAAAGCCTTGGGAATTGTGTATCCAAATCTTAAGGTGCTATGAAACCATTTATCACACACAAACACACACACCCAAAAAGATGAAGGCGTTTTCTGCACGATGTTGAGAACTAATCTATTTAAATATACACTTTGCAGTGGAACAACAGCAGGATAAATGTGTGATCCTTCCCAGCATCTGATTATTCCATAACCAAGTTTTTCCGTGCTGCCTGACCTCGCTCTCAGCAGCCCCAGCTCTGCTGTGACGTTATAAAATCAGTTTTGCGCGTTTTACAGGTTTCTAGCTCAGAACTGTGGCGTTATCCTGGGGAACACAGCCTTCCTCCTTCAGCTGCTCCTGCTGCTTCCTTTCAACTCCAACCCTGCACACTCAGGCACACAAGCTCCCAGCAGCCCCACATGAAGTGATTACCTCCAGCATCATTCCCAATCATTCCCAGAGCCGTGTGATGGTCCCGCAGGAGGCAGTGACGCCTCTGAGCTGAGGTCAGCGCTGCCAAGTCACTGCCAGCCCCAAGGAGAGGAGGGATTTGGGATGATCATAGAATCACAGAATCAGCTGGGTTGGAAGGGACCTCCAAGATCATCAAGTCCAACCCTTGATCCAACCCCACTGTGGTTCCCAGCCCATGGCACTGATGCCACATCCAGTCTGTCCTTAAACACCTCCAGGGACAGAGAATCCACCACTCCCCTGGGCAGCCCATTCCAATGCCTGATTACCCTCTCTGGAAAGAAATTCTTTCTAATATCTAACCTAAGCCTCCCCTGGCACAGCTTAAGGCCATGCCCTCTTGTCTTGCTGAGAGTTGCCTGGGAAAAGAGACCAACCCCCACCTGGCTATGACCTCCTTTCAGGGAGTTGCAGAGTGAGGAGGTCTCCCCTGAGCCTCCTCTTCCCCAGGCTGAACAGCCCCAGCTCCCTCAGCCTCTCCTCGTAGTGATTCAGTGAGAAAAGACACATCACAAACAAGGCAGCTTTTTTTCCTCCACCCCCTCCATGAAAAAACCTGAATTCTTGAGCGTCCCCATCAGAACAGAGAGCCAGCTTGCTCTGCTGGAATTCATGTTTATAATTCACCAGCACTAAACATGAATTTTTGGGAAGCAGCAGTTGTAGGAAACTCCTCAGCCCTTTTTTTTTGGGTGCTTTCCTGTGGTGGAAACATGAATGGACAAGGACTTCTCTCAGTTTATATCAGTGCACTTCAAGGCCTGGATTTTACAGATGAAGTGACAAAACTTCATATTTATCCCAGATGCATTTTCTCCTTTAAAAACACACTTAAACAGAGAAAATTCCAACTTCCCAGCATGAAACAAGTTTCACCAATGAAACCCCCATGCAGTTTTATTCTCAAATAAGAAAAGGTATAAAGGATTGAGGAAGGACAGTCCTCTTCTGCACAGGTCTTTCTGAGATGGAGATATCAGATAAAGAATCAAGGTTAAGAAAAAGTGTTATTGATTGCATGACAAATGATTATTGCATTAGGAAATATTTGGCAGTGACAAATGGTCTTATTTTTGGATTTTTCTGGTTCAGTATTAGAATATTTGTTAAAATCATGCATTAATAATATAAACAACTCTTCAAACAACATTTGTTTTTTAAATTAAGTATTTTAAGCTTCGAGCTGTAACATGTAAACTGCTCTAGGTCAACTTCAGCTGTAAAAATACTATTTGAAGATGACAATGGCTTCAATAATCTTAGATTAAAACAGTTACAGCTCAGGAGCTTCAAATTTTAATTCAAATTGTAACTTAACCAATGTATAAAACTTCAAGTGTGATTTGTGTCAGTGACCTTTGTCGTAATAAAGCAAGATAATTTGTCAGAGATACATGCAAATATAAAGTCCACACATGTATGTTCTCAATGCTGAGATGTAACTTTTATGGCAATAACTGAGTGATGTGGTGATTAGGGAAAAAAGCAAAATGGGAAGTTAACAGGTGAATTGGTATCTCAGGTATCAGAGCATCTGTGCACATGATAATATAATAATCTCTTATGATATAGCATACTCCAAATAACATAGAGCAATAGATGTAGTATGTTATACCATAAACCATGCATGCTGTAGTATGCAAATTTATCTATTTAAATGTACAGTGACCACGAGCATTATTTGATCTGTGAAAGTCATTTAAAGTTCCATGAATGTCTTTCAAATTAAAGATGCACCATTTTCCATTTTCCATGAGAAGGTGGCATTCATTTAACTCATTCCTTCAAAAAGAAAGGCACACTGCATCTGCTCAGGTTGGATGACTGCTTTTTGGTAGTAAAATCTTAATCTGGGGAGTATTTTGTGACAAATCCGTTTTTTTTTTAAAGAAAACCTTTAGCTGGGAGAAAAACAAGTGCATCCTTAAAACATGCTGAGGATGAAACTGAACTTAATAAACTTCAAACATCAGTCAACAGGGTTGTGTGAAGAGAAAGGTGCAGGAGAACACCAAAACTACCTTGAAGAAGTGGATATTTACATGACAGTCCTGGAAGAGACAGGAAAGGGAGAAACACTGCCTGGTTAGTAAGGGCTGGCACAGCAAAGCAACCACAATTAGTAGCAGAATAAACAAATACAGACACAGCAGCGGGAATACAAAATGGACACATCTGTTAAGCACAGAAAAACCACACAAAAAAAATAAATTGGTGTTAATTACCCTGCCAGGGAGGAGCAGGGACAAGCACAGCGAGGGACAGGTCCTCACACAGCTGCTCCTCAGCTTTGGGCACATCCTCCCCCCTCATGCACGGGACATTCCTTGGGGAAACACTCCAGGTGTGTCCAGCTGTGGGGAGCCTGGGCTTCACCAGCTGGTGAGCTCTGACAGGGCCACAGCACTAAAGGGTTTCTTGATTTTTTTTTTTTTGCCTTGTTCTGCAACACACATTTAACCTTTACAAAAGGGATAAGGAAATCCCTCCCATCGATATGATTTTTTACATATATTCTTCACCTGAAATCACATCACGCTGCCTGAGAAAAGCCTTAGGGAAATCAGAGGCTGATCCGAACAGAGAGCAGAGATTTATGCCATCTAGTTAAGAAATGTCAAGTTTTCTAGTTTGAGCTCTGGTGAGTGGATGGGAAACCTCCAGATAACTGCATATGGGAATTCCCCATGCCAAACTATAGCACAGAACAGATGGAGTCATCTAACAGCATCTCTATAATGCTGCAAACTATTCTCTAATGATTAAATATGCACAATTTAAAAATAGGAATGAGTGCCATGGCCAAAAAAAGCAGCTCTTCTTTTTATATCTCTATATGCATAATGAGAGTGGATTGATGTGCCAGTGATATTTTGGCTGGTCATGATTTCAGTGTAGCTTAGTGTCTGTTTCCTGAAAAGTAAATTTAATCTTGTAGTTCACAATTTGAAGTGTCAGCAACATTATTTCCCTTTTTCATGTCACCTACCCTGACCTGCCTGAAGTTACAGTTATTGCTTCAAAATGGGAGTTATATTGGTTAGATACAGATTGGAAGAGATCATATCTTTTATTTATTAAAAAAAAAAGAGTAAAGTAACTGTAGTATAAGAGCTCTGGGGCAAAAACATTGCCATCCTTCAAAAACTAAAAGAAATGTTTCCTTCACAGCCCTTATAATACTTTACAGAGAGACCTGGAGAACTTAACCCACAAATCAACAAAATCATAAGTTCCTCTACAGTTTGGTTTATTTTGTTTTGTTGGGGGTTTTTTTGAACGAAAAATTAATTAATTTAATTAGCAAACTCATTGGGTTTTTAAGAAGCTACTGAAACAGTTCCTGGAGTCTTCTGCTATGGCCCTGGCTGTGCAACTGCAACATTTTCACCCAGCCTTCAGCTTAGAATCAAGACAGCTCTAGGATGTTCTGGCCACTGATTAAAGGAAAGAAAGAAAATGTCCTTTTGACCTAAAGTTCCTGTGAATATCAGGAAAATGTCAGATTAATCAAGACAGTCCTGGCCTTCTCCTTTCTAATAAAGCAGCCAGAAACTGCTTTAAAAACTAAAACTAAAGGGAGTGTTGAAGATCTAAGAAATGCAGGACCTGCAGTGAAACAACTGAAATGATGTATTGGTGTTGAGAAAGGAAATGATAAATAAATGAAAGAGGTTTCTTTAGCATTAGACTATAACAGCAACAGAACTATCAGAAAGCTTTAATTGTGCCTTGAAATCTGGGGACATTTTCAGGTTCTGTTTAACACCAGCTGTGCAGCCATAAAGAGAGGCCTGGTGGTGTAAATCCATGGGAGCTCTGCATGCACAAATCCAGACTGGGAGAGGGCACTGCTTTGTAAATTCACGTCTGCACAGGGATTAACACACAAGTTTAGTCAAACAAAGCGCTGCTCTGCATCCTGGAGGAGCTCAGCAGCAGAAATATCTGCAGCTCCTGAGTCACTGGAGAGGTCCCGGGTATTTATAACTGAGCCCGATGACCAAGCTCCACATCCTTCCTGTTCTTATATTTCAAATGATAAGGCACTTTAAAAGACATTTTCTTTAGGATCATCCTAATAGTTATGTTTAGAAGCACTGAGATGTCACCCAAATGTCACCACTGACTGAGCACTTCCAGTGCTCAGATTCGAAATCCACCCTGTTCTGGACTCTGCTCCCTCCCCTTACGTTGCAGGCTGGAAAAGGACACAACAGGTCCAGCTTCTGTACAGCCTCCACCAGCATTTCCATGGGTCAAGGCAGCTGAAATCTTGAGCACAAACACCACTCAGAGGTGGCCTGGGTGGTGGATGTGGATTTGTGTCCCCAGGGAAGCACCATCAGAATGGTCCCACATGGATCCCCCCAGTGGGAACAGCAGCCTCTCTCAGAAACCAAGGGAACAATTTCGTTCCTCTGAAACCCACCCAGGGCTACACTAGAGGAAGTAATTAGAATGAAAGAAGATGTCTGATATGTGAAGATTATGCACCAGGAGGACCACTGCATGTCTTCCCCACAGAGGCTTTAAAATGAAGATTTTAGGAGCGGCAACAACGTGCTCGGATCACTCCGATTCCCAAAGCTGGGTGTAGTGACTCACACTGCTCCCATCACTCAAGATACCTTGTGCTCAGTAAATGTGTCCACGTGTCAGGATTACAGCTGCTCTGGCCTTTGTTTAATTTAAAAAAAATCATTTGAATGGACCATAACTGCTTTATTTTTAATAACATTTCCCGTGCTGGTGATGTGGAAAGAAGGGAACAGAGAGAATAACTCACCAGCCTACTTTTAAACCAGTATTATTGTATTATTATTCTATCAAGAAGTGCTTTACTAAGCAGGAAAAGGAAAAAAAGGCTTGACCAAACTGAAATAACTTTCTACAATAGAAGTTATACAATTCACACATTTCTTTTCCTCTAATAAAAAAAAACCCCAAGGAATGATGCTCTAAATAGCAAAAGCATCTTACTGCCCAAACCACAACCTGGTAGAAAAAAAATACCATAAGGTTGCATTATTTCAATATTCTGCTTTTTTCTTTGCCTAGTAAAATACTGCAAGAAGAAAATAAGTATCTAACAAAGAGTAGATGCTGCAGTCAGAAGATTTGCTAGTTTGGGTCCATGGAGCCACCTGGGACTGTTGGGAGTTCCCATGGCAACCTCAGCACGGACAATTATGGAGCCGCTACAATTATTCTGAGGGAGTTACATTTTGAGATGGCCACAAATAATCCCATTCCAGAGAGAAAATTCACAACCAAAGGTTAAAACCAACTGAAAAATAGTGACAGATTTTCTCCTGCCTCCACTTCCTACAGGAGTATATTTTTATCTCTAAATATTAATAATGATGTATCACGTATAAATCACTGAGGACAGATTTGATAACACTGCTAAATGAGCAGATAATGGATTTGTAAGTTCTAGTGAGAGGTGAGATCCAGAAAATACGTAGATTGAATAAAATTTGTTGTGTAGAAAACACTGCACTGCACCCCTGCATAACACACCTCACTTTTTATATAATGCACAAGTTCATACAGATAACACATTGTACATAATAAGAAAAATCCTGGCAATAAAATCAAAAAGGTAAAAAAGCACCATCCTCTTCAACTCTTTCTTTTCCAAATTTGGTCTCATTTGTTGGAAGGGGAAGAAGTTGGGTGTTAATTTTTCAGCTGGTTCAGAGGTGGCAGAATGGGCCATGAGGAAACTTCTCATGACAAACAGGTTTCTTCTGTTCATTTACAGATGTAAGCAAAGAGAATTTTTGAATCTATTATTATTTATCTATAATCTATTTTATGGTAGATTTACACTGAATAAATGACTTAAAGAATCTGTGCCAGAAGGTCCAGCAAGCGAAGCAGCATATCCACGAGATTTGTGTGGCTAATAACCACATTTAAATAAGAAGTCTGGGTGGTTACAGTGATATGTTAAGAAGGATGTGATGGGATTGTGTAAAGAGTTTGAAACCAGTGAGAGCTTGAGGCCCAGTCTCAAGGCTGTCTGTTGAAATCTAGATGCAGGCAGATATTTTTAAAATTCTGATTTAAATGGGAGGTTGTAGTGACTGAAGCACGGACACCCTTGCTGGTCACAATTGTTTATTATTTATTTCAAGCCTCTATTTATAGAGGAATTAGTTTCATTTCTGCTCTGTGAGCAAAGCAAAGCATCTTCAACCTATCAACAAGCAATACTCGGCCCTATAAAATTACAGTATGCACATTTCTACCCATCAACAACTAATGTCCATCTTTACACCTATCAGCTTCCCACGTGCTTTCTTCTTTTCTTCAGTCATCGTCTTGTTCTGGGTCACACAACCTTTGGCTCCAGGCACACTGTAGACACTTCCTCCCACCTTCTGCCACATTTTCTTCCGTTCTGGCAATGTCCTCTGCTTTGGTAACCCTTTAAGTTCTGCTCTGGTCCACAATCCTCCACATCTCACTGAATCTACACGGGTTAGTAAGGCACTTGTTGCTAAGCTAGTAGCATTAGCTTCCTTTGCAAGCCAGCAGCCAAGTTTATTTAGAGAGGTTAAAGCATATGCTGTCCCTATGCCCGCTATGAGGCTAGAAAAGAATCTTTGCAGTCGGTTCCAGAATTGAATATTCGAGTCACAATTTGTGGAAAATTGGAGTATTGATCTTTTGCCTCTGCTGCGTGGAGTTCTGTTCAAGGGTAACTTATTAGGGTGAAATAGTGTTAGTTGCCCAAAAGCACGGGGACCCCCCACCGCTTTTCCAGGGTTGCTCTTCCATACTCGTTGCCCACAAATCAAGAATAAATCAGGTAACCTTATTGGGTTATTGCCAGGGACAAACCCTGGCTAAGTGTTTCGTTACACCATAAAGAAGCACTTGCATAAATCCCTATGGGAGAGGTGTGAAGCTCGGGTTGATTCGCGCGAGGACCTGTGAAAAAATTAAGATAGAAACATGTTGTAGCTTGTAAAGCTCCCAAGATCCCTAATTCTTGTGGCTCAAGGAGCATGGTTGGGAAAGCGTTCATTCTGTACAGTTGATTCTGGTGCCACGTGAATCTCAGCCCTTTGTTGGCTTGACACCAGTGCTTTGGCTGCTTGATTTTGGGTTTGCTACAGTTACCTCGTCCCATTTGGTCGTACAGCGATTCCCATCCGGGTGTGTTGCTGTTAAAACCATTTTCAAGAGACATTTCCAATCATGAAGAACCAACACATAAGAAGTACTTAACACTTCAAAAAAGGAGTACACACGGGGTGAGGAGATACCGCTTTCTCTTAGTAACCACTGTAAATCCTTTATCATCTCATAAGACAGGTTATGATATTTAGGAGGTTGTTGTTGTCCATATATAACAGGACAGGCAGTTACAAATTCCCAATCACCCGCTGCTAAAGCCTTTTCTCTGCATTCGTCCCATTTGTTCCCATAAATATTTCTGTGCCCATTCTGGGTTTTAATGAAAGGAGATAATTTTCGTTCTCGTTTGTCTAACCCCGGATCAGAAGAGTCATTGGAGTCAATGTCAGGTTCCTCTTTCGGGAGGGTGGAAAGGCACGTTTGTGGGAGTTTGGGCAGCTTGCAGCTGCTTTTCTCCTCAAAGGGTTACTCTGCACTCTTAGTTTTGTCCTCTGTCACAGGAGGAGCAGGGAGGTTAGAGTCCAGAGCTGCAACAGTTTCTGTCTCTTTTTGAGCTGCTTTTAAAGTAGCCATCAGCATACCCCACGTACTTGAGTGTTTGCAAGCTGCAGAGTCCCCAAGTCCAGCTTGCTCACAGAGCATACGACCAACTCATTGCCAAGTCTCTATTTGGAAAGTCCCATCTCTTAGAAAATCAGGTAGGTGTAAAAAAATCCAATCTAAAAGTGTCATTAATTTATGTCCGGACACTTCTTGGTTTTGCTTTCGCATAAGGCGACGCAAAGAATCCAAGCTTTGTTTCTGTTCCTGGGATATTTTCCCCCCCATCTTTCCCAGCTGCTCACCTGCCTTGCTCTCCTGCTTGCAGTTGGGAGATCGCTATGGATGAACGTCTTCTTTCCTGAAGTTTTGCTGATGGCCCTCCTAAGAATGTGGGGAGGGGGTGATGAGGATTTTTTTTCTTCTCTCCTTGGAAATAGTGCTATTTATTTCACTTTTGCCTTAACTCAGGCAAGGCGTGTGTTGGAAAGGCTCTGAGGTAGTTTTGTTCTCAGCCTGGTCATCGGGTTGTTTTCTGGCCCTGGTTTGCCTGCTCCCTGTTCTGGTCCCAGCCCGGATCTGCTCGGATTTCCTCGGAGAGGCTTGACCCATCTGCAGAGGAACTGTTTGGAGACGAGGTCGCCCTTTCCCTCCTCCGCTCCCGTGTTTGGCAGCGGTTTGTGCCCATCGACGCAAAAAGGGGGAAATCCCGGCCACAGCCAGCCACAGACAGCGTGAGTTTTTGTGAGAAGAACCCCTTTTTCCCCTTTTCTTTTTCCCCTTCTCGTTGTGTGTGTGGGAATCTCCATTTTTCGGCTCCTCCCACGGCGACCGCCAGACCCCAACACACCCCCTGCCCACCGTGGTTAAAATTGTGCCAAAAAGCAGAAAGTACCAAATTGCTTCCTTTTGAAGGGGATTTTTAGGTACAGGATTACTGTTTGGTTGGGTTTTTTTGTGTTCTTTTGTTGTTCTGCCAATACACATATATCCTTTAAAAAAGGGCTGTTATTTTTTTTTTCTTTATCCATACTTCCTCGATTGGAGCCTCTTAGTTTCAGATTTACAGGTGCTTAGAGGGAGGAGTTTGGTCTTCCTCATAAGTCATCCTCCTTAGCAAAACACTTCAGTCTCATTAAACTGAGACATCTATCTATAATTTTAATGTTCCTGACAAACTCACTCCCCCAGCAAAATGGCAGTCAAGATCTGCGATCCTCTTCCTGCAAGGCTTCAATGCTGATTTTAGAACAGTGGCAATATTTATTTAGATGATGTCATTAAATCCCAAATAGCAGCATATTTCTCAGTGCTATCTACTTGTTCCTTAGTACAGGGCACCTAAAATAAAATGCCTATGTAAGCCAGAATATAAATGATAACAGAAGTAAGATAAAAGATGATCAGAGTCAGCACCACTTATGTGCCACACCAGAATAGCTAATAAGTTAAATACCACCATTCAGACATCTGTGCTGCTAATTTTTAGATGCCATCACAGTGATGCCCCTTGAAACCAAGTAAGAATTTTACTTGGAGGGTCCTGCTTCCCTCTGCCCCTTCTCAGGGTGGTAAATTTTACAAGAGGGCAAATGGGTGAACCTGAATCCTTTTGCCATGTAACACTGCATTATCCCAACCTCGGTCTCCTCATAATTACAGGGTTTGTTCACACTCATTTATCATCACTATGGTTTAAAACTGTTCATTGTGCACCTGGGGAAATCACATTCCTGGAGACACCGTGTTCACTGAAGACCTATTCCCTTCCCTTGATTAATTCAGTCACTCAAACAGCAACAACCAGGCTACTCCCAGAACAGGGAGAGCCTCAAATACACAGTGTTGAGGCTGAACTAATTAGACTTTGAGACAGACTAATTATTTCTGAGGCAGAGCTGCCCCTATGTGAAGCTGCTGTTTCTGGGACCAGGTCCAGTAGCTTTACCCGATGCAACCTCTCAGGATTTCTCCTCCACTTCATTGCAGGACACAGATAAACCCTGACTGTTTCTCCTGCAACCAAGGTATTTACTGTAGCACGAAGAAAAAAGCCTAAGAGGTTGTAAATTCAATATGCAAACATACTGCATATAATATCTGACCTTTTTAAGTGGACAATTTTAGTGACTTGTCTTCATGCTGTCTCTGACCTGAGAAAAACCAAGTAGATTTCTATGCCTGTATCACCAATATTTAAACACCAGTTCCAGGCTCTGTATAATGCACAGGGGCATGGAAGGGGTGGACAGAATTACTTTTGAAGCTATTCTTCATAGGGAGGATAAAAAATAAATATGATCTTGAACAGCAAATGACCTAGTGCAGCAAAATAAAATCACACTGGGTCAGATCACAATTGTAAAGAAAGGAAAATGGAATGGAGATTGAAATACTTCTCAAATGTATAATAAAAATCATAGTTCATGCTGCAGACAGGAGTATGGGAGCTGATCCAAATGCGTTCACAAGAAATTGCTGCACCTTTTCTTTTTCTTCCTTGAAAGTTGCACATGTGCTGTTTTTCCTCACTTTCTCGGGTTAACCCATCTTTTATAATAACAATGGAGAATTCTGCCTGATGGTGGACATAAAAAATTGCCATTTCAGGTTGAAAGGAGCAGGCGTGTTTGTTTATGCACAGCAGGTGCATTAATCACGTTCTGGGTAAACAGCCTGGCTGGGGCTGGAAATGTCCAACCAGGAAAAGGGAATCAACAGTGCAGGTTGGGATATTTCAAATTCATTACTGTGTGAGCAGCTGGAAGAGCAGCCAAGGGAGATGAGCTGAATCCAGCACAGCCATCAGCAAACCCCCTCCCTCCCCAGGCTGTACCTGCCCTGTTCCTGGGGTTTGTGGTCAGCAAATACTTAGTTGAAGTCTCAGCTGTAGTTGTCACAAGAGGCTGAGTTGCTGGCTGAGAGTGATCATTAAGGAATTACTCCTTTGTATGGTACAATGAGACTGTGTTTGTGGCTGCCAACCCCTCCAGTTGCCACCACAGAAGGCAGGACACTGTGGAAAGCATTGCTTTTCTCTGGATTCTCTTTTCTATACACAACTACCAATACCTCTGGTCCTTAAAAACATCCTCACCCACGCTACAGAGATCAGAATTTCACATGAAAAACTTCTGCAAAGATTATGAGACTCTAAATTATCAGTAATAATTACAAGCCTTTTGTTAAAACACAAGAACTTACAGTGTTAAATATTCTAAATATGTGGTTTCTGAGAATTTCATTTGTCAAATAACGCAGATACCAGTGATAATGGCTGGAAGATTTTGCAGCAAGTATTAGAAGATATTGAAATTATTACACATGCTTGACAAAACATATTTTAAAATACCAACTTAGAAGTGTCATAGCACAGGAGCTGAACTGTCAGAAAAATGATGCCACCGCTGAATTAAACCATTTGGTCCAATCTTCAAGGAAACCAAAGTCACACAGTGCTGACACAGGAACAGAAGCAGTAGCACTCAACCATATGTATGTTTTAACGGGCTTTCTTTTTTGGAATAAAGTGAAAAAATTCATAATAAAGTGAAAAATAAGTGCAATATACAGCTTTTAGCCCTCACCTCAAACTTCTGCCGGAGCTCTGCATTTCCATCTTCATCAGCATCTGGAATTGGAACATTGTAATATTCACCTTCTTCTTGATTCAGCAGCTTGTACCTGTGGAACATTTGAGAAAAAAAATGTGACTTTCCAGTTTTATTTCTGTCAGATTTGAAGCCTGATTTAGTGTGATTATATGATTTTTTGTGTGTGTGTGGTTTGTATCAGTGTCACAGGCAGGTGAAGAACTGACCTCAAGGACCTAAAGCAAACTCAGAAATAGGACATATTTAACATGATATCAAACCTTTAATCCCAAATTATGTGGCAAGGCAGTTTAATGGACAAGGAGATTCTTCCCACCCATCCTGTGATATGATGAGAGACATCAACCCTGGAGAACCTCTGTCTCCAGTGCTTCCACAGCCCTAAAGAGCTGTCTTTGAAGGAATGTCCTTTTTCAGGAGATGTGGTGAGTTCTACCCCTTGCTTGGTAGGTAATGAGATGGCATTTTATGAAATCAGTTTCCATGCACTTTGAATTTGCAGAGCTATATATAACATGATACACTTACAAATGAATACATCGTATTTGAGATAAAAATAAAATTCCTATCACAAGACTATGTACACAGAGCTGAGTTTGCAGCAGCTCCTGGCTCCAGTAGAAGTTTCATGAACACCACAAAAGAAAAGCAATCCTTTCATTATCCTCCTTAGATATATATATATATATAGCCTGTATTTCCTAGGTTTAGTTGCACTTTCAGGGAATTTATAGCCTGAAACTCAGTGAAAAACTCAAAAAAAAAAAAAGGTAGATCGTGTTGAAGAAAAAGACTGATTTAAAACTTTTGGTGATATATTCTCTCCTTTCTCTCCTTCTCCCTTGTCTGAAACTCTTACCATCCACTGGCTGGCATTTTCATAAGCTCTGACACCCCAAATGAAAGAGATCCCATGAAATCGTTCCTGGTTGTTCGATCCCAGTCCCAGACCTCGACGGACAACCGGCGATCTTTGTCTGAAGGCTTTAATTTACTAAAAAGGAGAGAAATAGAGCAGTTTCCAATGCAACACTGAACAAACAATTCAAACCAGGCAAAGATCCTGCATGAAATGGTGTTAAACTCACAATGTGAAGGACTCATTCCAGTCTGGATTCAGAGTAGAACGGATGGTTTTTGTTTTTTGTTTGCTTTCGTTCTTAGGGTCTGGGATGAGCTTCAGTTTAACATATGGATCTGAGAGTCCATTTGGATCCATGGGAATGAGGTTTTTTGCTTCTCTCACTGTCAATATAAAAAAAAACCCAGCTCGTTTGTACAGGATTAGACATCGCTCATAAAACACAATAACATGTCAAAGCAGAGTTATTGAAAGATGCTGACAAATAAATAAGACGTGAAAGCCACTTGTCAGACTTGGCATGGAAGAAACTCCTTGCTGTAAAGTGAGGTTGTACTGGGTGATATTTGTCAGAATTGTAGAGAGCAATGACAGGAGAGGAGTGATTCACAACCGACACGCAGCTCCCAGGCAGCGTTTTCCTGCAGTGGAACGATTAAATACCCAAATCCATCACTGTAATTTTTCTAAGCAGGTACCAATTCTTTGTGCTTTTATTTCCTCATCAGTCTCAGGTCATACAACGACAGGAGTATCAGCCAAAAGCTGTAAGGGCAACAGCCAGATCACAGTGGATTTCAGAGGGTCCATTATCTGATATGATCCCCCTCTGGAAGGTTTTGAACACTGAATTTCCCCTGGATTCACAGTTCATCAGCTGTCAGAGGGAATCCTTGTGAACATTATGCCATGACAGCAACCAAAGGAAAAACACAGGGAAGACAAGCTGAACTTCAGCTTCACAAAAATCTTAATGTGGTTCCTACTTTTACAACGTCAAAAGAAGAAATAAAGTGAGTTATCTCATGTTGCTCCTGAGCCCCAAAGAGTGAGAGACCCCTCAGAACCCGCAGGTCAGAAGTGCAGGGGAGTGGAACATCCAATGGAAGAACAAAGACAGCACTGCCCTCCCTCTTGTAGCCACATGAGTAACATTTCTACATCATGGAAGGTTTTATTCTGCTGCACCTTGGAAGAAGAGGTGAATTTTCCTCATGTTGGGAAACCCCATCCCACCCAAACCAGCTGGGATAAAGCTGGGGAGGGAAATTTGGAGCTCACAACTGGGCATCTCAAATCATGCTGGGAGCAGCAATCTCTGGGCTTGTTCTGGACAGAAAACAGCTTTCATTCAGGAATTCCTTTGTGCCAGCCATAGTTTAAGATTGGAATTGTTTCTGGAAGGACGACTGCAAGAAGCTTTGAGGGTGACACGGTTCCCAGGGGATGAAGAAAGTCACCGGAGAGATTATCCTGGATTGAGTGTCCTCAGCTTTCATTCAGGAGGGTTTTTTCAAATTTATCTACCTAACTGCAGAAATCTAAAAGGAAATTTAGGAAACATCAACCTTTAAGCCGTTTAATATTTCTCGATGGAAAATATTTCCTACAAAAATTTGAATTTTAGAGTCAGAGCTAATGCAAAGAAAGAAAAGAAAAAAACTTGTTAGATCTTCAGCAACAGGTTATTTACTGTTTGCTCAAGGCATTCTTCTCCTCTTCCCCCAGATTTAAATGGCATTTCCATATTATAAATAAAAAATCCTTCCCAGGATTTCAATCTGTTGTTTCCCAGCATGGAGGCTGAAAGGCATCCAAGGAACACAGATATTATTTTTATATATAGAATAAGAAGAGGACAGCTTTTGGGCAGCAGGGTATTATTATTGTGCTTTACCAAAGGCCAGTGGAATGAAAGATGATGGTGTTGACAACACCCCTGTTGTAAAAGAGCACTGATTTATAAACCATGGGATGTTCTGCTCCATTCCCTACACACCAGGTGTATTATCAGGGTGATGGAAGCAGCTCTAGGCTGACTCTGTCCTTGCAGGGGATGGAGAGAGTGTTTTAGTGCTCATTGTGTTTTTCCAAAGGACACAACTGCCAAGTGCAAACCTACTCCTGAGCCCCTGTGGCATTTGATGCAGGATGTAGAGGGAAATTTTCTTTTTGGGAAAAAACCCACCAGTGCAACAGGAAAAAAACCCCATAATTTCAAACAGTTTGACCTGCTCTGTTTATTTAATGAGAGATTATTAGGTGTGGTAGAACAAGTTGGAAGGAAGAAACACCAGACCTAACTGGTACCTTATATCCAAAATAGCTGTGGGAAGAAGGCAGTGTCCAGGGATGTGAGTTACTGATTTGGAAGACACTAGTTTATTTGTCAAGATAATTCTCATGCAGAACAGATACTCTGAGGTAAATTAATCAAGGAAATTAGATCGTGGCTGGAAATGAATCACATGAACTTGACCCAACAGTTGATACTGATTAAGTTTCTTAAATTTGTGGTTTTAAAATTACAGACAGAAAATGTTTATGGGTTAAAATTTTAGAATAAAGTGTAATTCTGTTCACTAAGTTTATTGCTCAAATAATTATATCAGAAAAAAAATCACCGTGTTTTAAAAGAACAGAACAGAAACATGCATCTTTCTTGCAAACCATTTCATTTTTAGTTTCCCACAATCCCTGTATGAAGCTGACAGGGCTTTGCAACTGGGGAAATGACAGTTTTCAGGCCAGGAAAATTGTTTCCACTCTCGTTTACTCTGAGTTTGCCCTTTGAGGGTCTTCACACCCAGTGGTCAGCTGGAAAACCATTTGTTCTCAACCCACGAAAAAAACCCAACCCACTCAATATTAAAATTTAGCATGCTGAAAACTATCTTCAAATACTTCTGAGGAATAACATTGAGATTAAATGACTTATTTTAGCTAAGTATTTACAATCCCAAAGGGACCGAGAACCACAAAGCGAGTGCAGGATGAAGTGACAGCTTTCAGTGCAAGCTGCTCTCTCTCATCCTATATTTGGGGTTATTTTGGCTTTTTTTGGTTTTTTTTTTCAGTCCTCTTGTGCATGGTTCTTGTGACTGCACTGCCAGGTTTGGCACATGAGCTGTTACTTCAAAATCCACAGTCTCATTCTTTTTCTCTATCCTGTAGTTTGACATAAGTGAGGAGCAGAACTCTCCACATGTTCTACAGCTTCCCAAAAATACACATTGGGAAGTTCTTCACTAAAATCCCTTGAACAAAATGGATTAATTTGAACATGGCATCTTCAGACTGAGCTTTTAGGTTTCAGTTTTACCTGGAGAGGCTCAGTGTAACAAGCAGAATTTTAAGCAACAGGCTGGGTGGACGCAGAGACATCCTTGGAAGCTCTGCCATGGAGAATTCCCTGGAGAAAGCCATCACTGACCAGCCTGGGTAAACCTGCTGAGCCTAGAAAACAACACTGGCAGCAGGAGGCCACGGCAGCATGTGTAAGATTGCTTCTTTCTTTAGCAGCACACACAGAAAATGGAAAAAAACCCCCACCTCTAAATATAAGAAAGAGAAGCTCAAAGATTAATTGGGAAGGAAAGATGCAACATGTACTAAATACAGGCTGCAGACAAAGTCATTATCTCCCTCCTTGTTTTAAGATATCTGGCCCATTTGTACTTCTGTCTGCATAATTAATACCCTTAGACATCCTTTTCCAACTGACTTAGCACTTCTTTTCCTGAGGAAGCAGCGTGATGATACTTGTGCTGAATGGTGCTTATACAGAATTAGCATCCAAGTGGTCCATCTCCAAGGGTGCCCTATTTTTAACAGGATGGGTCAGGTTTCTCTAAGAGGATTGACACGAAGAAGAGATTTCCCCTCCCCACAAAAGGCACCATCTCTCGTGTGGGGGTGAAAAAGCGAAATGAAAAATAATTCCCTGAAAATAAATCAACTTAACTGTGGCTGAGTGGTGCCATAGCTGTAATGACAGCCAGCAACCTCTTGCTGCCTGATAATTATTAGTTAATTAAACTCAATGCTGTGCTAGGGATGCTACTCTAAATGAGAGATGGTTGAAGTGAGGTGAAGTGGAGCATAACTTGGGCACAAACCTAAAATATAATTTGTTGGTTTTCTGTCGTAACTATTAAGGATGATAACAATCTCTATACTGAGCAAAGCAGCTGCTACAAGTTAAATTTCCCAACATTTTGTCCAGATTGGACTCTTAATGGGGACTGAGAGAGCACACAGACGAACAGACAACAAAGAGAAGTATATACTGAATTTTAACAAATCCCACCTTGCCCAGGTTTTCCTTCTAAAAACAGAAATAGGGAAAAAATGTGCCATTTTCCTCCTTGTTAATGAAGGAGAGATCCTAAATGTCTATTCAGCAGAAAATGGAGACTATTTGATGACTGTCCTATGGCTCTTCTATCACGTGCTCCTTCTAAACCAGCAGTATCCATCCAGGAGCCCTGCCTGGAACTGGAACACCCACTTTCCCAGGAATAGTATAAAGATATAAGAAAACACAGATCTTGTTCTTAGGTATTCATACTTTAAATAAAAATCTAAATAAAACAGAGTGGGCTGGCAGAGAACAACTGACATTTGATGCAAAGAGAAGAAATACAGGCAGAATTCTGAGGAATTCAGAGAGTGGATGACGAAGCCGAAACTTTTTCCATGAGATTGGATAGGTCAAGCCATATGCAGTTATGGATTTATAGCTGCTTGTGGCACCATCAGATAAAATTAGTCATGGGAATGAATAAATAAATGCTTCTGTCCCTAGAACAAAGCTGGATGATTAGCAGCATGAGTTTACTCAGTTCCTTTTCAAGTGAGTCACAGCTACCTTTTTCCTGAATTCCCAAATGTGGATAATAAACCAGTTTAGTGATCACAGCAACCATTTTGTGCCAATCTTTTACCCCCCACAGGCAACTTAGATGAGCAGAAATCTCTCAACCACATGCCAATAACTGTTCTTAGAAGACAATTCCAGTCTCCAATGGTCTGGCCTGGCACAATATCCAGAGAAATGAAGGAAAAGGAAGGCTGTTGTTAGCTCCAAGAGTTAGCTCCAAGTTTCTGTCTTCACACAATAAAGCATTAGTAAATTATTCCATAGTTCTCACTGCCTCCTGAAGAACATTCTAGCCTAAATCCCAGTGATTTGCCCAGTTTTCAGATGACTTAGGTGTATTCTCAGCCAAGGAACTTTCTCCCCAGTTCCTCCCTGCACTCCCCTTAACCACAGTTCAAAAGATTTACCCATTACTGAAAATAGTCTTTCTTCCAATTTGTGGATTTGTACTGTCTGCATGCAAAATCCAAAGCTGCCTCCAGAACTGCTCAGCTTTCATTAAAGATTTATTACGAGGTTTTAATAAAACTCACTGAGTGCTTCCTTTCTGGAGCTGGTTGTGACTCACATGTACAAGTGGTTCCGAAAACAAATCCTGCTTTTCAGACAATTTCCAGTTTCCATGCAGTTCCCATCACTAAAAGGGCTTTCAGATATGAGACTTTTCTCTATTCCATACCTACTCCCCTGCCCAGGTAACATTTCTTTTCATGTCCCTCCTGAGCCCAGTGCTCCCATTACCAGAGCCCTGAAAAATGGCAATATAACGAGCCCTTGCACTGCCCAGGAGATGTACAAGGCACAGATGATTCATTTCCTTGTCTAGAACAAGACAAAAAATGAACCAATTTCGCAGGACACTTTATTTCTCTCTATTTATTAAGATATCCTCTCCTACTAACAAAAAATGTACCATCGTCCCTAACGCTGCTTCCCAAGTTCTTGTGCCTGCAGTAGGTTCTCTGCTTTCAATTTTAACTGGAAATCTCACAGGAGCAATTCTATTTTATTTTTAAAATAAGATTATCTTTGTAAAAGTTATCATTAAGCACCACTGGGTAGGACAGCTGCTTAATGAAACATAAATCTTAACACAAGATGGATCAAATCGCCTGAAAAAGGATTCAGACCATTACATTTCTAATTTTATCTGTATATACACTTACCTAAATATATAGGATTTAGTTAATATTTCTGTATGCATGTAGATGGCCATTTATGAAAAATTAATGTTCTTTTTAAATACCATGCATTGCCTATTTCTTCATGGTAAAGTAAATTTAATGACTGGAATGGGAAGGAAACTTTCTGTTGTTATCAGGGCTGGCATTGCTAAAGGCACAGCTTTTCCTGTAATGACTGCAGCAACCCTGCAGATTCTGGGAATGTCACAAAAGAGATATTAGTGAAGCAAACCATGAGATCTGTGTTTTTTGAGACATTAATAATGTCTCCCACGTGCAAGGAGTTATTTGGGATCCCTTTATAGGCATTTGGTACTAAAAGCTGGTCAAATATCGAGAATATTCCCGTATGCTCCCTTTTAAAATCAGTCGCAGATATTAGGAAGTCAGTGCTAACAAAGACAGACACTGACCTAGAAAATCATAAGTAAAATTACTAGAGTGGTGTGTGTGGTAAGACCTTTTACGGAAACAATTTTTATGAGACCCTAGAAACGTGCCAAAATTCTCCGAGTTTGTCTCCCCAGCTTGTCTGGGCAGAGGCTCCTGCCCCCGTTGTCCCCAGCAAGCAGCGTGACAGGCCATTAATATGCAGAGCCAGAAGGTGGCTCAGCATTCACACACTCCTAAATAATGTGGAGAATGCACGGAGGGGAGCACAGAACTCCCGGGGAGGTTATTGTTGGAGAGCCTGCTCTGTGCTCCCAACCTCTGCAGGGATCACTGCCAGCCCTCCTCTCCTTCCAAATGACAGGAGCATCACCGAGGAATGAAACCAGATTTTCTGTATTCTTGAAGCTTAGAAAAATAGATTTAACCCCCCCTCTGAAAATTCTGGGCTGTGTCTATGTGTGTTTTAACAAGGTTTATGTAGCAGGGGGGTGCATTGGCTGCCAGCAAGTCACTACCACCCTGTCCCTAAATTGGTTCTTCCCTGTCAGCTCCTGTCACATCCAACTCCCAGCCAGTCTCAGGGCACAGTTTAGGGTCCCAATAACGTGGCAGCTTTTTATAAATCAGTGCACCAAATGGGGTTATTTTTCTCACACGGGTTATTGTTCACTCGCTATAAAAATAATCCCAAATATAAAATTAAAACAAAAAAAATCGCAACTGTGATTCAACCACCTACAAACTCGCCCTGAATTATAAGATGGGTCAAGAGGTAAACGTAAGAGTGAGAAAACTTGTAGCACACATCAGGAGGAAGAAAATTCAGTGCAAAAAGCAGAGATTAAGAATAGCAAAAACTGCTTTATTATGCCTAAGAGCAAACCCCCCACGTCAATCCAACCTATGAAAGGGTCATGAACTCAGTGATTTCAGAGATAAGCAATTCAGGAGTGTTTCTATAAAAAGAAAACTACCCCACTGATTTACTTCAAGTGCAATAAATTATTAATATTCAATGCAACTCTCAAGCAAGCAGCTCAACCATTGAAAATAAACCACTGATGTTTAAGAACTTCAACGAAATGAGCACTGAGTGGGGCAGATTGAACAGCCCTGGCAAGATGGTGAGTTTTGGCAGAGTGTAGCAATCCAAAATTCCTACTCATTTGTGAAGAAGTGTTGCAGGATCTCTACAGTTCACACAGAAAAAGCTGCATGTCCGTGTTTATGCACCTGGATTGAAGATCTGACCCAGTTAACTGGAATTAAGTCTGTTTATACATAGGATTGAATCATTCCCACCATTAGTTCAATTCAGAACCTGCCAACTTGGAGATTTTAGATAATCTGACTGAGCCACTGGCCAGCCCCACCTGGCAGAACCCTGCCTTGCCTCCTTCCTAGAATTCACTGGGGGGAAAAAAACCTCAGTCCTATTTACAACATTCCATCAGGAAAATGTCCTGGCTGGGCCTGGGAGGGTCGAGGTGCCCATGGCAGCGATTTGCAAGGTGCCAACCCCAGAGCACGTCTCCTTTGAGCAGCACAAATGTTTTGCATGAGATCAAGGCTGGCTGGGAAGGAACCAGCAGGAGCTAATTAACAACCAAAACAGGGCGCAGGGCAGGGATATTGAGGAATTCAGCTGGAGCAGTTCAACACCTACAGAGTAATTCCTCTGAAAAAGATTCAGACAAGGGCTCAAACCAAACAGCCAATTGTCGATTATTTTTCCTGCTGTTCCTAAACCTCCTGGACACTTAATTCACCTCCTTTCCCAAAGCTAAAGGCAGTGATATTGTGCCTGGCAGCTCTGGGAACTGCATATTCTAACAAAGGTTTTCTCAATAAATATTTTAGAAGCAATGACATTCTAGGAGAAAATTTTTGCATAGCAGTGTGTCCATGAACTACCTGACAACTGCTAATTTCCTTTTCAGTTAAACATGCACAAAAGGCACCTGAAATGTCATTTGGGCTTAGTCTGTATGGCATTTTTTTTATTTAAAGAAACAAAAAAGCAGCTTACTTTCAGAACAACTGTCACTTTCATTTAAAGAAGTTTTCTGAAAGCTTGGAAATGTTGAGAAGCCTCAACCCCAACAACAGCCCTGTAATTGTTTTATACATAACGAGGTTATAGTAAACATTTTTCTTGTCCAGAAACCTACTTAATTGTAGGATGGGAATGTTTTATTTATAAACACAACAGAAACAGCATTTGCCAAGTATACTGACACCAAAAAGAGCAATGAAGAAAACCTAAGAAATGTCTGTAACAATTTGACCACATTCATATCTCAGAGAAGACCTTTTCAAATAAAACTGTGAACTAAAAGAATCCTTGTTTGTGTAATCGTTTTACAGGGCCTCGGTACCACAGAGACTTGTGACAAATGTTTTTGTCCCTAAAAGGATTATAAACCCACTGAATCATCAGAAAATAAGCACATGTTATTTGTCAAATTATGTGTATTACAGCAGAAAGTTTGAGCCATATTTAAGAACCTTGCTGCAGAGCGGCCTAGAATAATGCAAACATTACATTTTGTCACTTGGATGATTTTCAAATTAATTCTCTCTCATGGTACAATTGCTTTTAGAAGCTGCATCACCATCTCTGAAATGCCTCACCACTTTGTGAAACCACCTTCTGTTAATGACAGTACCTTGGACAAATTTCCCCTCCCACGTCGACAGGAAGCGTTTTGAAAAGTTAAGCTACAATTAAGCACCACTTGGGATCTGTTCTGATCCTTTCTAATGAAATTTTATCCAACTTCTCCTTTTCAATGCATTTTACAAGGTCTGACAGGAGAATATGGAGGCATCTGGATTCAGAGAGAACAGAGCCACAGAGAATACAGTGCCAGGAGGAATATTTGCTGGCTCAGTCAGCAGGGAAAATTCAGGGTGATGGTCTCATTTCCTTTATGCTGACCACGAGGGGATGGTCTCTACTGGACACATTCCACAAAGAGGAACAGAGGTGGAAGAAACATCCTTTTAGTGTCTACCAGTCTCTATCCTGTCAGCTGAGCCACACTGAAGCCACACATGACACTCAACATCCACAGGTTGCCAACAAGCAAGAAGTGTCAAGAAACATCAGGAAAACCAAGGGCAGAAGTTGAGATGGTCTAAGAAACCTCCTACTCTGTCCTGGTGTAACTTTGCCCTCGAATTTGATTCCATTTTACAACATCAACCAGGCAATGATAAAAGCACTGGACCCTGTCCTGGATACACAGAATTTTTTCTGCAGCTTCAGCCCCGGACTGGGTCAGTGGGGTGTGGGGGTGTGCAAGTCTGGGTGTGCACAACCAAAAATTACTCATAAATTCTGGGAGAAACACTTCCAAAGAAAAGAACTGCCACCCTCTCTTTCCTTCCTTTCTCTGCCTCCTCCCCATCTTGGTAACCTCAAGCTCAAAGAATGTGAGAATTATGTTTTTTTTTTACTTTATAATTCACTGGGAGCAATATTTGGGACTGAATCCAAGTTGCTTTTGTTTATTCAACACTCTGAAATACAGGAAACAACTCCCCAGCTGATGAAAGTTTAGTGCATCTCTCGTGTTCTGAAGATGATGGGGAACTTCCTGAACAGATAACCAGCCTACTGAGCTGCTTTCTACATGAAAAAAAAAATGACATAAAAGTGATTTTCTAATTAATATTCCAGAGTTTTTAAGGCTATTACCACAGCTTTCATTTTTTTATTTATTTTCATGAACCCCAGTTCTTGATTCCAAGACACTTTGTATGAAACCCTCACACTTCTGAAGGGAAATACTCCATCAGTGGCTTTAACACACCAAGATCTGACCAAGGCACACAGACCCACAGTGGTCATAAATGCATATAAAATCTGAAAAGTTCCAAAATGAGTTGTTTACCTGTTACTTCCAGTTTTTCACCAATGACTTCAGCTTTCAGGTAAATCCTTCCCCTTTTCTCTGTGTGGTCCATGCCACAGAGGCTGGGGACGTTTATCACACATTGCTTATGAACGTTCATGTCACAGGCTGTGGAGACAAAAATGGTTCAGGCACCCATGAGGAGCCAATAATTATGATCACACTGCAAACTCAGAGCAAAGTGAAAGTTAAGACTAAATGCTTAATTGTTGGCCAGACTTTCAGATCACAGCTGGGTGGTTTTCCACCCAATGACGTGGCTACATCTTACAATACATTCTGCAGAGAATAAAATAATCTACTTCAGAAACCTAAACATAACCATTAATGATGTGCAAGGGAAAATAAAAGTGAAGCTGGAATAAAGACTTGCTGGGAATATGACTAAGAAAACAGAGCATTCACGTCAGCATCCCCAACGAACGTGAGTTTAAATTGATTATTAGATTTTTTCTAGCAGGACACTTCCAATACAAATTAAATACAAGGAAAATACTGGACCCTGGCTACAAACTTAACTGAATTTTCAGTCTTTAAGGGTGTATTCAAGAGGCTTTCTCAAAACTGCCACAGCAAAGGCTCTTCAGCCACATCAAGCTGAACGTGCTGCGTTCTCAGCAGCAGAGGTGATTTTCATTAGTAGATCATTATAGTACTGAAATATCCACTTGAAATATAACAGGACTATAAATAGCTGACATTTGAAACACTGTTTTCCACAGAAATGAAGTAAGAGGCTGTTACCCAGGGTTTCCACTTTCTTTCTAAAACCCTCTTTTAGTAACACAGAAAACCTTCACTTACTGTCACACTTCATCCCTTGGTGCAGGAGCCCATAAAGGAGGGACCCACAGTGGTCACAAAAGGTGGGGCTCCCATAGGTGTGGATCTTAAATTTGTGCTTGCTTCTGGGATCCTGGAGGGAAAAAAACAGACAGACATCCTCAAGTCATAAAAAAATACCAGTGACACACCTTTAATATATCACTTCAAATACCAAAAACTTTCCAGCTCTGCAGTTTATGCTGCAGGAAAATACATTTGATTGTGTAGCTTGTTCCCGACCCTCAGAGAGGTACCTGCATTGGCACAGGCACATCTGCCTCAGTTCTTAATTTTCCTCTGCTTTGGTGTTGTAAGAGTGAGTCAGCTCAGAGAACACAGCCTTGTTCCATGATTTATCTGCACTAAAACTTCACTTACTGACTGCACAAGTACATAAAGTTTAATGACAGTGTTCAGCCCGTGGCTGAAGTGTCACAGACTGTCTGTCTGTTTACAGTGTGTCCTTGTCACCACACAAAATACAGCAGGGAAATAACTGCTAATGGGCTGTTCTGAACCACAGTCAAAGGGCTGGAAAATCAGCATCTTACAGAGGGGATCATCTCGAAATGCTGCAACTTTATAATCTACACTGTAAATGGAAGGGAACAACTTCTAACTGTACATGCAGTAAATGTTTTACAGACAATGCTGTTCCCATCTGATTACTGAACAGAGAAACTTATAAAAAGAACATTTTAGCCACCAGCAGCTTGGAAATGTTTCCTAATTTAGAACCAGTGAAAGGGAATACGCTCAAATCAAAAATCCAAAGAATTTTGCTGTTCCTCTAGGGGTAGAGATCCTCTCTGGAAAACCCAAGACACTTAAATAAAAGGAATAAATCACAAATTCAGTATGTTCACCCATTCCACACACATCAGGCTGGAGATGTGCAGAGCTCAAACAAAGGGGGCAACAGCCCTGTCCTGTGCACATCCTCTCCATCCTGACATCCCTGATGGCCATTTCCAGCCCCAAATGTATTTTAGTCACAACTACCACTGCCCAGTCTTGATCAGGAGTTGGGAAGAGCAGCAATTCTTCATTAGAAAACACACTGGGGTTTGAAATGAATCCTTGCTAACATTGTTTTCAGAAAGATCACGGAAATCATGAAATGCCAGGTCTAAAACAGCCTCGACGAATAGACAGCTGCAAAATGAGACATGAAAATGTTTTTCTTCTGATTACATTTTGTATTAATGTGCCTTTATTTGGATAAGAACTGTTAAACTCTCTAACAAATATACTGGTTTTTAAACTTCACCTGCCAATCAAAAGCAAAGCCCAGCATGTAATCCAAGATGGAAAACCTGGGGGCTCTGTCTTCAAAAGGCAAAGATTCCTCCAGTAAAAGCATTTTCTCAAGAAACCTGAGAACTTCTAACAGTAATTATCATAAAAATATGACTATGAGAAGGCAAAATCTTGCCTTCATATTTTAATATTTTGCCATCTTACTCTTTGTGAAGGTTTTTTGTGTTTTGGGAGCATTCTGCATGTGAAATCATTCTGATACTGATTCCAAGTTTTACAATGAATCTATAACCATTATTTTTTCACTACACAGGAAGAAATTGTACAGCATCCAGGATAACAAGTAAAGACTTTACATTAGGAATTCAAATGGAGACTATTTCAATAGCTCTGCCTGTTACACAGCCCGAGATATGAAATACAAGCTGCTAACAACCGTATTTATTTAGTAAACACAGCTAACCCACATGGAGTGACATCCAGGGCTCCACAGAACATCTGTTTCATTATTTATTAAAGATATAGCAAAGGGCCTCGTGGCACAGGGTCATGGGAACGTTGTTTTACAAAAGGGTTCTCTGATGGCTCTTTGACTATATGATTCCAAACAATTTAAACCACAGTTGGGAAGCGAATTCTTCCTTAAATTGTTTTGTTTAGAAGACAGGAGGGGACTTGCTGCCTTATAAATATACCCACTTAAACATTACTCTGGTAAGCACATCTGTGGCTGAGAAGGACAAAAGCTTCCAAGAATGACACTGAATAAACAGAGTTTTAAAGTTGTGTTTAACCTCTGATGGAAGTGGTATTTATGAGTATAAAGTAAATGATACAGAGGGGAAATTATTATAGTGAATGTCTATTAAATACATTGAGCCTGTATATTCTCCTGAAATGATATAACACTACCAAATAATTTCACTCCAAACAACAGGATATCCATGTAATTAAGTTAAGCAGGGGGGTGTGTGGCTAAAAAACGTTGTGACATGTAAGGACAGCTCTGCTGCTCTCACCACAAAGCAACACGAGCTCATGTGCTCCTGTGCCCAATTCAATGTGACTCCAAAATGAAATAAAAACAGTCACAGGAATAAATAAATCAAGTTGAATCAAACTTTGGAGTTGGCCCTGCATGATTCATTATATGTAATTTGAATCATCATTTGCTTTCTATAACGACTGTCCCTTTTCTATCCCTATATGAAAGTCCCTACTGTAGGATGTTTCAAATGAAAAATTTATTATGAATTAATTTTTTTAAGGAGTAGCAAGTAAGTTCTGACTATTATTAGTTATTATTCTCTATGCATGAAGTCATTCCAGGCAGAGCATAATATAAACAGTGGAAAACAGTACCAAAACTACTCCTGAACTGGAAACTTTGTAGAATATCCCTTTCAAAATCCCTTTAATACATCTACATAGAAGAACCTAAAAAACATTTAAAACCTACAAATAAGAGAGTGCACTCTTCATCAGTATTTAATCCTATTTTCTGTTTCAGTCCTATGTTTTTTGATTTTTTTTTTTGTAAATTGAAGTATAGAGGACAACTTTATTTTGCCACCAAGTCTGAGACCATTTAGAGAAAGCCAAGAGATCACTTCTACCCATCACAGATGATAAAACCTTTTTATCTTATTCTTATATTAACAGGGATTTTTCATGCACTTACAACTACCCTTGAATCTATAGTTTGCATTTTAATTACAAGCAATCATATTAATAATAATTAGTACATTGCCAGTACTAATTACTTACATTAACAGCAATTATTTTATTAGTTGTTAACACTTCCCAGTGTTAAATATGCATTAAGGGACTTATGTGAATCATAGAGGAAACAGCATCATCTTTAGTACTTTCTGGCTAAAGGAAAACTATGGAGCTAAAGGAAAGCTCCTGTAAATTTTCTTCAAATATGCCCTTTTCATCGATGTAAACTTTCAATAATTCCCAAAGCAGAGCTGGCAGTCCCGTTTCATAGTAAACACAGGGAGCCAAGCCAGGATATGACAGATGAACTGCCAAATAATGGCTGCTATTTGCAAGAGAATTGAACTTTGCACTAAACTTGGCATAGATTAATTGTGAAACTCTAAAGGGAAAACCCACTTCTGCTTCCAAAACCCGTCAAAGTTATGGAGGGGGAAAGTGGCAATGGGAAAGCAATGGGAAAGCCCTTGTTAAGCAGTGATGAATGATGTGCTCTATTAAAATTCATGTTATTTTCATGCTAAAAAGTGAATTCTGGGCTATGTTAAGACAATCCCCCATTTTGGTAAGTAGAACTGAATGCAATACAGCATAATTAAATGGGAAAGGAAACTGGGCAATCAATAGTAGTGACGTTTAAATATTTGTCTTTGAAAAACCCTTAAACTGGCAAAAATCTGGCCAGTGCTCTGCAATTCGACTGCTTTAGAACAGGCTGGGTTTCAGAGCCTGTAATGACATATATGGGTGCAGCATCCCTTTAAAGACGAACAGAAACTGGGCATCTACAGCCCACACAGCTCTGAAAAAATCAGAATATTATTCATCAGTCTCAAAGCAGAGACAAGATTGCACAGAGAGGGGCAGGCCCAGAGTCCCAGTGAGCAGGAGATCTGGGCTGCACGAGGTGGAACTATCCCCAAAAACGGAGCAGAAACCTTTAAAAAACATAAATCATGAGTTTGCAGAAGTGACTCCCCCAGCCAAGCCAGCTTTGGGTCTGCTCTAAGGAGTTCCTGGAGCCAGGCAGGAATCCAGGCAGGAGTCCAGGCAGGAATCCTGCTGCACTCCAGCAGAGGGAAGCAGAAGAACACGGAGGCATCTCCCCAAACCACACGTTTGTCCCTCTGTCTACTGCCACCGAGCTCTGTCCTGCCCACTGCAGCAGCACTGCCACCATCCCTGCTCCTGCCTTTGTTTAGCACAAATGAATCCATTCCCTTTATTGGAGAGCCATGGAAAGCACCCCCCTGCGAGGAGCCATTCCATCATTTTTGTGGCTCAAAGGAGGGGTGTGCAATAATTGAAAGCTCCTGGTTAACCAGCAGCACATGTCAAACTGTGCTTTAACACATCACAAACCAGCTTATGAGCACTGCATTTCGGAATTCATTCTAAGAGCTCCCTTTTGATTAGGATTTTATTCCCCTTGATAGCAACACTGAACCCGCTATCGTTTTGCAGCCATTAAATCACCACGTTGCTTTTAAGTATAAAATATGCAAAAAAACCCCACTTTGGGTGCTGTTGCACCAGTGGAGATTTTACATTCCAAGCACATCATATCATCCCTTGTCTTTTCATAATATACAACTTGATGGTATGCCCAGCTGTATCCCCAGGAACACGGATCCACCCTGTCCTGGGCTGATCCCACAGTGTGGGCAGCAGGGAAGGGAGGATTCTGCCCCTCTGCCCCCCTCAGGAGACACCCCACCTGCAGAGCTGCCTCCAGCTCTAGGGTCCAACAGCAGAAGGATGTGGAGGTGCTGGAACAAGCCCAGAGGAGGCCACGGAGATGCTCCGAGGGCTGGAGCCCCTCTGCTCTGGAGCCAGGCTGGGAGAGCTGGGGGGGCTCACCTGGAAAAGAAAAGGCTCCAGGGAGAGCTTAGAGCCCTTTCAGTGCCTAAAGAGGCTCCAAGAGAGCTGGAGAGGGACTTTGGACAAGGGATGGAGGGACAGGACACAGGGAACGGCTTCCCACTGCCAGAGGCCAGGGTTGGATGGGATATTGGGAAGAAATCCTTCCCTGGGAGGGTGGGGAGGCCCTGGTACAGGTTGCCCAGAGAAGCTGTGGCTGCTCCATCCCTGGAAGTGTCTAAAGCCAGG